TATACAAAGGTTAAGGAAATACAGTTTACATTTTCAACAAATATAACAATAAATAACATAACAATAAATCCTGTATGTCAGTGGAAAATGATTACAGAAAGATAAAACATTGTAAAAGAATTGCAAATTGCAATGTATAAGATTAAATTGCAGTAGGGCATCAAATGAGAGAGAGTTTTCACCTGGTTAGGAAGATTGTGAAAGTCCTCATGGAGAAGGTGAAATTTGAAAGGAACTTTGAAGCAAAAGTAAGAAGGGAAAAAGTGGTGGAGGGGGGGAAAGAGGGTTTGGGGGCAGAGAAGGAAGGGCATCAGTAGGGCTGCAGGGTTACCAGGTAAAATATGGGTTTCCCAGTTATATTTGAATTTCAGAGAAATGACAAATAATTTTTGTAGTATAAGTATAGTTACCCTTGAAAAATGCAGAGATTAAAAGCTCTGACACCCCTCATGCAATTGAAAACCCACGTATAACTTTGGACTCCCTCACAATGTAATTATTAATAGAACACTTACACCTTACTAACAAAATGCCTTACTAATAAAAAGCCTTACTGATAATGTAAACAGCAATGAACATATAATTTACGTTATAGGTCTTACATACTGTATTTTTACAATAAGAAAATTATAAGGGAAAATATTTGCTATTTATTAAGTGAAAATGAGTCATCATAAAGGTCTTCATCCTCATAGTCTTCACATTGGGTAGGCTGAGGAAGAGGAGGAAGAAGATCCTTCTTGCTGTCTCAGGGGTGGCAGAAGTGGATGACAGGGAGTGGATGGAAAGGCAGGAACATTCAGTGTAACTTTTATTGAAAAAAACCCTCTTATAAATGGACTTGTGCAATTCAACCCATGGTATTCCAGAGTTGACTGCATATTCCATGAAACATTTATGGGATGAAATATTTGAAATATACTTAAGTTTGAAATGCTTCAGATATGTTTACAGAAATAATTAGAGGGTCTTAGATTTCTGAAAGAGGAATCACTTTTTTTGTGTGTAGGAGGAATAAGATGGCAGAAATAAGGAGAAAAATTGAGATAGGAAATGGCCCAGGAAGTGACAGATATGAAGATGTTAAATTAGGTGGTAGAAGTTATTTGGAAATAGAGAAAGTGATTGAGATAGAATGGAATAGAAACAAAAGATTAAATCTCAGTGACAAAGAGATGTGGAGTTACAGTTGCCTTCCTGTTTATGTCTTTTTAATGGGATGATAGTAATTTCATTAGCACTTGGGAAAAGCCCAGTTTTGAGAAAAACAAGTGATATGAACTATATAGGTCATGTGAGGGGGAGCTAGCAGGCAAGCCAAATATAGGCACTCAGTGAGCAATTGGAAATTTCTGAAACTCAATAGTTTGGGAGTTTAGATATTTAAATATGTTAAATTCAATAAACAGATCAAACCTAGAAGAATCCCTATAGTTCCCCAATTAGAGGCAAAAGAGGAGCCAATAATAAAATAACAAAAAGACATAAGAACAAGATAATTTAAAAATTGTTCTGGGTCTTGGAAGCCCTAAAGTCAGAGTCATTCATTACTCTTAAAACATTCAGAGAAGTCAAGAGTATAGATTGAGAAACCAGTGATGGTTTTGGGAATGTTTGATAGAGCTGTTTTAGAGAAGCAGCATGGATGGGAGCCATGTTGTTGGGGATAGAAGAGTAATGTGTTGTGAGGAAGTAGAGGGAACCAAAGCTGTGAGAAAACTGGTGCTCAAAGAAGAAACTGAAGGGAGGGAGTCAACAGAGAGGAAGGGCTGAAGAGGTAGGTAAAATGGGGGAGCAAACTCTGAAAAGAGTGTGCAACAAGAATATTACATGGAGGCATAGAGAGATTAGCCATAGAAAAAAGAGAAAAACCCTCCTCAAAGTTAAGTGGAAGGAAGGGAGGAAAAACAGAAGAATTTTAAGTGACAGAGAGGGAGATGATATTGTACAGTTTCCACTTTTTAAAATTATACTTTAAGTTCTGGGGAATATATGCAGATCCTGCAGGTTTGTTACATAAGTATACACATGCCATGGTGTTTTGCTGCATCCATCCCCCCGTCATCTACATCAGGTATTTCTCCTAATGTTATCCCTCCCCAAACTCCACCCCCTGCTATCCCTCCCCTACACTGGGGAATTAAAATGAGCATGCACTAATATATAGTATCACAGAAGCAATGGAATTTAGGTTTAGTAGGTGATACAGTTTGGCTCTCTGTCCTCCACCCAAATCTCATCTTGAATTGTAATCAAAATTGTAATCCCAGGGTGTTAAGGGAGGGGCCGTTGGTGGGTGGTAGGTGATTGGATCATGGGGTGATTTCCCTATACTGTTCTTGTGATAGTTAATGAATTCTCATGAGATCTGTTCTTCCGATAAGTGTGGGGTTCCTCCCCCTTAGTATTCTCTGTTTCACCTGCCACTATGTAAGATGTGCCTAATTCCCCTTCTGCCATGATTTTAAGTTTTCTGAGGCCTCCCCAGCCATGCAGAATTTTGAGTCAATGAAACCTCTCTTGCTTGTAAATTACACAGTCTTGGGTAGCATCTTTATAGCAATATGTAAACAGACTGACACACATAGGAAATTTAGGAATAATTTTGTCCAATCACTTTTTTTTAAGGTTGGTGGATGTGAAGCCCAGGGAGATAAAATAGCTTACTGAAGGGCACAAACTGGTTAGGCCACAAGTCCCTTGACTCAAAGTCCCAAGTGCATTCCACTGACAAATTCCCTTTTTTCTTTTTTCTTTCAAATTTTAGATTCAAGAGGTACATGTGCAGGTTTGTTACATGACTATATTGCATGATGCTGAGGTTTGGGCTTCTATTAAACCTGTCACCTAAATCATGATTGTAGAACTCAATAGGAAGTTTTTCAACACTTGCCACACTCCCCTTCTCCCCACTTTTGGAGTCTCCAGTATCTATTGTATTCAGCTTTATGTCCACTGACAAATTACTACCCAGCTTCTGGAAAACTATTCTCAAAGCCAAAATAGCAACTGTGTGGTACATAATAGGCACTTGATAAGTGTATTTTAATTAAACAACTTTATCTCTATTTTAATTACTGACACCCCTAGGAGTTAGAAAACTACCCTCAGTATGCAGTTTGTGTCCAGTACCTAATAAGGCTATATAAGGCAAAACTACTTTAGAGAAATGTAATTTAGGACTTACTATGTATTGTCATATTGATTAATTCATACGATTAATAATGAGTAAAGGGGTATTAGCTTCTTACTACAGTGATAAAATTAGTCTCAGCAAATTTACATAATTTATTGAAGGTCAAGAAGTCAGAAAATTGTGGAGTTTATGCCCAACCTCTATCCCCTGACTCTAGATGTCATACTTTCTCTGATATACCTTATGGCCTTTCCAGGATATTTATAACCTCTAGGGAAAGGAAAACCAAATCTGTGAGGGATGAGGAAGTGGGAAAGACAGAGGAAGAGAAAGGGAAGCTATGAGAACTAGTGTGAGGCTCTTACAAAGAAAATTGGTGCCATAAAAGAGCAGAGTGCAGATAATAGATGAATGGTTTGTATTTATCTCTGGAAAGGTCTTTTTGCTAGATATAAACTACAAAGAACTGGGTTGGCTCCAAAGAGATTAAAGCAGTGGTGTGCAGCTTGGAAATAGGTGTTGACTTCTAAGTGCACTTGAATGGTGGTGGAGTGGGAAAAGCATTGGTATGGGAATCAGAACACATGGTTCTTAGTCCCAGTTCCGCCATTACCTTATTATTCCCTTATACATGGTACTTTTCCTTTTCTGTCTCTGTTTTTTTTCCCAGTTGTAAAATGAAATGCATTCAACTTCATAATCCTTAAATATTTTTCTCCCTTTGTATTATTCCCATTGGTAGATGCTGTTAATAATTTGGGAAATGCCTGAAGTGAGACTCTGTAATATGACAATGTAACCCACATTCTTTCTTGAAAAAAAAATCTAGTTGCTTTTTTTCAACTGGTCAACTTTTAACACATTCTTAACTAATCCATATACTTACACATGGCATAGTTGATTAGCCTATTAAATTGAGTCATGAAATTACTCTCCCATAATACTTTAGAAGGGTAATTCATCCCCTTACACATTGGGCATGTCTGTTGGAAGTTACATCAGTAACAGAAAAATTACAATTGATTTATAGTATACGAACCATAACTAATGATTAACCCCCAGTCTTGGATTAGTAGGCTTTTTCTGTTGTAGTTATCAATAGACTTAAGGGAACTGTTAGTTTATTTTACCATTTCTCCCAAAGACTTTTAGCTCAGAGACTTTTAACTGAAGTTGAAAGTTCTTAGGGTACAGTAAGAGTGGAAAAATTTCAACGATCATTTTGCCAAGATCAACTGATGTTATTTTACGTGCAAATGAAGACCAAAGCTATCAACTAAATAATGAACCACTAGGGCACAAGTAGAAGTTTCATCACAGATAAATTTTTTTCACCTGTATATTGTTTGGGGCATTGGTGAATTTAAAGACATTAATTGTCATATTTTGACCTATAACTGGAGTTTCAGCTTAGTGCTCATGGTACATGGAAGGATTTCAAGGGGCTTGTGAACACTCTGAAATAACAGAAAAATTGGAGGTATATATGAGTTTGTGGATATGTAGGTTTCATTTGTTTCTCAAAAGAATCACAAAAGGTGACACCAAAGAATAAAGAACCTCCACTTTACATATCCTGTAATAACGGGTTACAGTTCAGATATTTCTTTGGTAAAACTGTTAGCTAATTTCAATGTGTTGCCTACAATTTGTAATAAGCTTTAACTACATGAGGGTTAGTAATAGACCCTTAACTATATGAGGGTTAGTAATAGACCTCCATAAGTATATGACACCCCCTTTATATACACATCTGTATATTCTTGCTTCTCTCCCCTTTGCCCACTTCCAAAAGTTGAAAATGAAAAAAAAAAAAAAAACACACAAAAAAAAACATTGAAACATGCAACATAAAGCCATTTACCGGAGTCCATAGAGAACTGTTCCATCAGGATGCAGTCGAATCATTCGATTTTTCACTGTGACCCCATGCACGAATGATTTCTTGTCATTCAGAAAGTAGGTGTCTGGTACCCAGAGTTGGTCAGCTACCCTATTGTCTAGGGTGAGGTTTAGTGGGATTCCAGAATAAGAAAGTCTTTTGTCTTTCCAAGACTGCTGGAAATACATGGTGAGTGTATAATCCTGTGAAATAAAGAAAGCCAAAAAAAGAGTTTTACTATTATTATCATCTAACGTTTGATGACAGGTGGAATGTCCTGTAAGACATTACATTTGAGTATATTAAAATTTGCATCTGCAGGTATAAGGCAAGCAATAGGTTAAAGTACTAGGGGTCTGGCACAGTGGATCATGTCTGTAATACCAGCACTTTGGGAGGCCAAGGAGGGAGAATCTCTTGAGCCAGGAGTTCAAGACCAGCCTATGCAATGTAATAATACCCCATCTCTACAAAAAATAATTTTTAAAAAGTTAGTTGGGTATGGTGACACATGCCTGCAGTCACAGCTACTTGGGAGGCTGATGTAGCAGGATCACTTGAGCCCAGGATACTGAAGCTGCAATGAGCTAGGATTATGACACTGTATTCCAGCCTGGGTGACAGAGCAAGACCTTGTCTCTAAAAAAAATTAATTAACTGACTAAATAAATAATAAAAGTACTAGGACTATGCTTGAATGTATATATAAACATTTCCACCAATATAGAGCAAATAGACGTAATTGAATTTTAAAGTTTGAAGTTCAGGTAATGATGTCATGGGGAAGGTCATAAAGAGAAATTGTACAGAGGAATCTATGTTCCTGAAAACTGACCTCTGAATACTAGAATTCTATTCTGGAGAGGAATGCCTGATAAATAACTGAAACTGAATCCACTTGAAAGGAAAGAGTGTTTTTCAAACCACAAATTCTTTTTGAATAAATACTGCTCTGTTTGACACATAAAGGTTATCAATTGCCCTTATCTGGATTTTTCTTTGAAGTACAACTTATCTATGGGTGAGTCCTGAAAAGTAGCTATGAGGCACATACAAATGGAGATGTTGACTTGGTCTGAAGACTGACCCCAGTGGTGGCACGATTCGATATTTCTCTCTTAACACTTTCCTGTTTCATTCCATGAAGTGGTTTGAATTCAAGAGTTGGGATTGATCTTGAAAGTTTGTTGCCTCACCTTGTGCAAAGTGTTACAGAGGACATCCCCCTGCACTTTCTCTTTCTACTTAGGTTTCCCCTAGCAATTAGAGACAGGAAGATTGGGCTCACTATAAACGGCTCGAGCTGCTGGAGAGAGATGGTGATAATAATCATAGTACTTTAGTTATTGTCTGTTTTTAAAAACTCTATTAATACAAAGTAAAATTGCCCATAAAAGGAAAATAGTCAGCTGTAAAATCATAAAGTCTTTGATATGAATCCCGACATAATAAAAACAGAAAGTTCACTTTTTCTAAGGCATTCATATGGCAATAGTCACTTTGTGAATGCCTTAGTGATTAGTAAGAACACACTGTGTGCCTCCTGCACGATGTCATGTACTGTCATTGCAATCTATTCTACTGTGGAGAAAGAATGATTTGAATCATGTCAGACATCTGGCAAACTGCACTCCATATAGACTTCCCAAAGGAATATTTATGTATTTGTGAAAAACCTTAAAATAGAAAACGATATTCATTCTGGACAATTAATTCCAGGGTCTTTAAACCATATTGAAGAGCAATTACACTATTTACTCAGAAACCACCTTGCAATAATTTGAAGACATTGCTTCTTGTTCAATGGCAAGGATATTCACATTTTACTATTAGTTATACAGTATCCTTTTTAAAAATTTAAAACCTCCTTCAACCTTACCTTCATATATATAAAAAAATAACCCCCAGGCTACATACAGTCCTCTTCTCAGTTACTACCATTCTCATTTGCATCTTCTTCCAATTCTTAACATTGTGACTTTTTGGAGGAATATGAATTGGGCAGGTATGGGCTTAGATTGCAAAACTGCTTGATTTTAAGCTCTACCACATGTAAGCCTAATTATAAGTGACTGACATAACCTCTTGTTCCTAAGATGCCTCTTTTTTTTTTAAGAGACAATTTCACTTGGCCATTCTGACTGGAGTGCAGTGGCACCATCCTAGCTCACAGCAGCCTCAGACTCCTGGGCTCAAAGAATCCTCCTGTCTCTCAGCCTTTCAAGTAGTTGAGACAACAGACATATACCATCACAGCTGGCTAATTTTTTCTTTCTTTTTTTTTAGACAGGGTCTTTCTGTATTGCTTAGGCTGGTCTTGAATTTCTGACCTCAACTGCTCCTCTGGCCTCAGCCACCCAAAGTGCTGGGATTACAAGAGTGAGCCACCGCGACTGACTTGCCTCATTTCCAAAATGAAAAAAATAGCATTTTACTGGCCTGTTGTGAGCATCAGTTGAGAAAATTAAGGTTAAAGTACTTTAGAAACCATAACGTGCTAAGCAAATAAATTATCTTCAAAATTTTTAATTGCTGCGTACAAATTAGCATTACACTTCCAAATACTTAGAGAGTATATGCTCACTTTGATAAGCATTTCTATTTTTAAAGAGATGTTTATAAAAGAATCTGTGGGCAGATGGACTCTGTTGGCCATGAAAATAAACAATTGTCTGTGATGAATTCGAAGTCTTGGTGTTGGGTTCTTGTTTATAATTCAGACAGTATAGGAAAATTAAATATCAGCCACAGTCATATTGTAAATTTTGCCATCATCAACAGTGGAATACATGTTTCAGCTCATAGTGATTCCTCATTAGCATCCAGATTCTTATGAGTGCCACACAGGATTCCTCACAGTTAAACCTGTGGCAAAAATATTTGCTCCACAATTCTTTTCAATAAAGATTAAAAACATATGATCATAAAGTATAAGGGACTGTCTTGAAAATTGATGAGTAAATCTTACCATAAAAGAGAAGTATATGGGGTAATGCACTGGTTAATTAGCTGTATTTAGCCATTCCACAATGAATACATATTTGAAAACATCATGTTGTACCCAATAAATAAATACAATTTTAATTTTTCAACTTAAAAAATGGCAAAATAATACTAACTAATAAATGCTATGTTAATATGTAGCATTTATTATCATTTACTTACTCCATGTGGTAGGAGGAGATCAGAAAGGAGAAAATAATGTAAATAAGCGTAACCCCTACTTAGACTTGTGTGTGTGCGTGCATGTAGACTTTTCCCTTTTTCTCTTTGGAAACTGTTTTGTTTCCTGCAGAGAAAGAGCTATATGCCATGCGGTGAAATCTTTGCTATACAACTCATTCTGTTTTCAATAAATATTGAATGAAAATTATATCATGCTTATAAACTCAGGCAATAATGTATCCGATTTGCAAGAAGTTATCCAGTGAAAATGTATATATGCTAGTATATTACATCTGGGAATAGGTGAGGTGAAGCAAGTACTCTTCACACCTGGTCTTTTATTGCATTTCTAGGGTGAGTATCCCAATCTAGGACCTGATTCTATGATATATAAAAATACAGACATGTGATATTGATAATCTTACTAAAATCCTTTTGAAGAAAATAATGGTGATAATGATGAACATTATGGAAGGACCTAAAATACACCAATCTCATTTCTCTACCATCTATGTAAAACCACATGCATGACAATAATTCCCTTTTCCTGTGGCATGCTCTGTGCTCATGGTTCTCATAAACCATTCATATCTATTATAACATTTTTTTTCTCACAGCAACCTTGTGAGATGGAAAATTTTTCTGTGAAAGTATTTATTATTTACAAGTCAGAGAAACTACTTATTATATAAATAATTTTTTATCTATCTCTTAATATAAAGGTTAACAGTGACATCTGAATATAATAAAGCCTATGACTTCGTTTTGGTGGATACTATTTTTAGATAGAAAAGAAAACTTTAAGTGCTGTATTTTTGTTCTCCTATACAACAAGTTTTCTATTAATTCTTCATTAGTCCAAACTGCAAGCACTCCAAAGAAGATGGAGCATTTTTCAGAAAGAAATTAATGTTATTTGGCCAACAGCATTAAAATTATTTTTCTTCTAGGTGTGTTTACAAGTGTTTCACCAGCTTACTTAAGTGTGCAAGCTATTTCTTGAAAGAAAGTGTGACATATTTAGAAACTATGGGCCATAGGGAATTCCTTGACACTGAGGTAAGTTAGTATGATTAATGGATATGAAGTTGCCAATAAAATTAGTCGGGCTAATTCAGGCATAACAGAATTTGATTCATTGAGGAAAGGCAAGATAGACAATACCAAATCAGTAGTGCTCAATGAAACTCCAAAACAACATCTTTAAACATTTTATGTTCATTTTTTAAGACGGAGTCTCACTCTGTCACCCAGGCTGGAGTGCAGTGGTGTGATCTCGGCTCATTGCAACCTCCACCTCCCAAGCAATTCTCCTGCCTCAGCCTCACAAATAGCTGAGATTACAGGTGTTCACCACCATACCTGGCTAATTTTTGTGTTTTAGTAGAGATGGGTTTTCACCATGTTGGCCAGGCTGGTTTCAAACTCCTGACCTCAGGTGATCCATCTGCCTCAGCCTCCCAAAGCGCTGAGAATACAGGTGTGAGCCACTGTGTTCAGCCCCAAAACAACATATTTTTTTTAAATCTAGAGATGATTAAAGGTACAGTATAAGAAAATAATTATGTTTTTAAAAAGTCATTCTTTTGGAGAATAAAGGTAACATTATTCCTAGATTTATACTTTTAAGCACAGGCTGATTTTGCCCCCCAGGGTTGGTACATTTAGCAGTGTCTGAAGACAGTTTTGATTGTCACTCATGGTGGTGTGCTACTAGCATCTGTGGGTAGAGGCCAGGGATGCCCCTTTATCTGCTACAATGTGCAGCACAGGCCCCCACAACAAAGAATTGGCTGGTTCAAAATGTCAATAGTGGCAAGGTAGAGAAACCCTGCCTTACATGAAAATATATGTTTTTAGTATGAGCAAAAGATTTCAAAATGTTTACCATTGTTTATCATGAAAAATATGTATATTAACATGCTTATCTGGAGATTTTAATGTATCTCTCAAAACTGTATGCTAGGGAATGCTGACATAAGATGGTTTGTAATTTTCTATTTTACCATAAGAAATAATTTTATTAAAATCCATTAAT